TTCCTGAGACCAGGGCTGCCCCGAGGCCATGGGCTCCTCCAGCACGTGGCCATCAGGCCCTGCCATGTGCCCAGCCCCACACCAGGTGCTGGGACCCTGAGGAGGAGGACCAGACACAGCCCCTGCACCCGGAGAGCACCCCATGCGTTGTAGGGCTGGGACAGGGATAGCGAAGAGGGCTCCTGACCCAGTAGTAGGTTGGGAAGGCTTCCTGGACGAGGCAAATAGAGTGAACCAAAGAGCAGGGAAAGGGATGTCCTGCTCTTTGCAGGGGGAGCAGCATGTGCAAAGGCCCAGGGGCGACGCTGCAACTGCTCCATCCACCTGCCTGGTTTACCCTGCTTTGCCCACCCGCCTAGAGCTCACCAGGCTGCAGTGCTGCCAGCTGCCAGCACGTGGTTCTGCCTTGGCAGAGAGAAGGGCAGCAGGAGCAGGGCTGCAGCCTCCTGATAAGATGAGGCGAGATGAAGCATTTCCTGTCTCCTGTCTCTGGGTAGGAGGGAACCGTGGAGTAGCCATGTCACCCGAGGCCATGGGGTGGGGGGTAGTTCCACTGGGCCACCTTGGTGGGCGGGCCAGGAGAAAGCAGGACCTGGGCAGGTGTCCAGTTCAAGGAGTCGCTGCACCCCTGTTGGGTCCTCCTGGCTGGGGGCCCGCAGGTCAGCACTGTGACGTTCCCCTCCCCCAGCACACATGCACACACGTGTGCACACGTGGGCACCACCTTCCCACCAGCTTTCCACAGCAGGCTGGCGCCTGTGGCAGTGGCATCCGGGGTCCCCACCTCTGTGCAAGTGTCGCCCCCTGCGGGGAGATTCAGGAATGGTTTCTGGGTGGGGCTGGGGGCAGGGTCGGTTCTGCAGGGACCCACCCCTGGGCCCGCGCAGGGGGTCCTGAGAGTCTGCTGCGGCTGTGCCAAGGGGCCAACCAGAGGCCCAGCTGGGAGAGGACTGGCTGGGTCTGAGCATCTCTGGGGACAAAGACTTTCTCTGGGACCAGGGTCACCTCCGCCGGGGCAGCGCCTGCGCCCATGAGCACGCGTTCCAGTGGCAGATACGAGGGAGCCAGCTGCTCGGGGCTGCGTGAGAGGGCGGGGGCCGGGGCGCTGCTCCTCCCTGGCATTGGAGGGGAGGAGGTGGTCTTAGGGTCTTTCCAGCCACCCCCACTTATCCAGTCCCAAAGTAGGCCCTGGGGATATAAAAACGCCCCAGACCTTGCCGTCCCAGAGACGAGATCAGCTCCTCGTTGTGCACGTGCTCGTGCAGCTGCTCATTCCACATGTGTTGGTGGCGCTGGCTCTGGGGACACAGTGCGGGGCGCTGGGGACAGAAGGTGAAGGACGAAGGCCAGTCCCAGGCAGGCAGGCAGGCGGGTAACCAGGTGGTCGCCCCTCCAGAATGAGCTAGAGCTGGGGGAGGACAGGCTGTCCCGGGAGGCAGGGCCTGAGGGAGGAGGGGCGGGCCCAGAAAGAGCCGGGAGAGAACGTTCCCAGACGGCTGAGGGACCAGCAAGGACAAAGGCCCTGGGGTGGGAAGAAAGGGGCTCAGGGTGACTCGTGCGCAGCCCGAAGGCCAGCGTGAGGGAGGGGAGCCAGCGCAGGGTGAGGCAGGGCAGTGGGCGGTCCAAGGGGACAGGACTTGGGGCGACAGGGAGTCGTGGGGAGTTCTGACAGGAGGCGGTCATGGCCTGGCTGGGTTCGGTGATGTGCCGTCTGGCTGCTGGGGCAAGATTGGAGCTTGGGGGGCAAAGGGGGAGCGGGAGACCCTGGCACCGTCGCTCAGTGATAAACAGGACGGCGACTGAGCCCCTGTAGCGCTCACGGAGGAGGGAGCAGCGATTGGTCCCCACCCAGGGCCAGCTGGGGCGGGCCGGCGTGCCAGGGTCCCCCCCAGGCCCTGGGTGGGGAGCAGTTAACTTGCAGCAGGAGGGAGTGAGTGCGATCCTGGCAGAGGGGACACGGGGACAAAGTCACCAAGACCAGAAGCTGCCTGCAGCCTGTGAAGAATGACGAGCAATTTGGTGCTGCCGGAGCATGACTGTCGGCCGAGCCCGAGCGCCGGGAGCGGAGGAGACGGGCTGTGCCCCGGGGTGGGGGGGGGCAGCCGCAGGGACGCGGGCCCTTGCTGACCACGGATGCCTCTTGGCATCTGGGAGCTGGCGGGTGGCGGCTTCAGCCCAGCCCCAGGGGCACGCAGCCACCCAGGCGCCTCCGCCGGCCTCCCACCCAGCCCCGCCCCCCACTAGAGCCCGCCAGGGATGGGAGCTGCAGGCCCGCCCGCCAGGGTGCGCCTCTGCCCCTGGTAACCCGGTCAACACCGCAGAGCAGGGAACCGTTTCCTCCTGCCTCCAGGGCCCCCGGAGCTCAGGTGCCCTTCCTCCCCATGTGCCCAGCACAGCACCATAGGCGTCGAGGGGAATGGGGAACAGCCCAGGCCAGGGCCCCAGGTGGCCCCGAGTGATGGAGGAGGGGCAGCAGGAGGCAGTCTGCCTGATGGGGACCCTTCAGCGAGGAGGAACCAAGAAAGGCTTCCCGGAAGAGGTGGCATTTAAGCAGAGCCTCACAAGAAAGGAGAGGATCTGGGGACTCAGAGAATGGAGGCAAGGGCATTCTCGGTGGAGAGAACAGCATGGAGAACAACCTGGAGGATGGGTGTGAGTGCGGCCACAGCGGGGCGATCAGAGGAATGGAGAGGCAGCTGTCCCTTTCAGCAGGGAGAGGAGGAAGGGGGCCTGGCTGGCTGGAGAGCAAAATGTTGGGTCATTTTGCCTGTGGGCGAGGTGTGCGGGGGTCAGGGTGTGGCCAGGCGTGGCTGTAGCCCCCTTCCGCCCCCTCTCCCCCATGGACGAGGTCAGAGGGCGGCCACATGTGGCCACAGCCGTCTGCATCTGTCCCCTGGGGGTGACTGGCGCCCCTCTGAGGCTGAGCTGAGGCAGGGGAAGCACCTGGCACTCGCTATGCCCCCTTCCACCCCCACCCCCCAGGGACCCTCAGCCGGTCCCCTCAGCCCCTCGAAGCGGGCCTGGCTGGTCTCCCCCTACTCCCTAAGCCAGCCACTCCCTGGTGGGGAGTCAGACAGCTGCTCCCATCCTGACCCCGACTGCTCCCCGGGGTCCAAGCGTGCCCTTGACTCCTAGGGCTCCAGGCCCCCGGGGGCCCATCTCGTCCTGAGAGACGCACAGGGCCAGGTGGCAGCTGTTCCCCACGTGAGGACACCCACATGCACAAGGGGCGCCTGGGATCACTGAGGCCCTGGTGACTCAGGGAAGGTCAGCCTTGGCAGCCCGGGCCAACCCTCTGTCCATCCACCTGCTCAGTGGTCACCAGGTGCTTCTGCCAGCAAGGGTGGGAAGTGGCTTCATGTGCCCAGCTAGGGTGACACTGCGGCTGGCCATACCCAGGGTAGTGGCTCCACCATGCCAGCTCCCACTGGGGCGATGGCTGGCCCTACTGACAGCCCGCGGCCAGGAAAGCCGAGTGGGAGGCAGTTAATTCCCTCTTCCACCGTCTCCCTGAGTGCGTCTACACTCCTCTCAGAACACTCTGGTGGGCCTTTGGGCAGGGGCGGCCCTCTTGCTGCCATCCTCTCGCAGAGGTGCCCCGGGAGGCACCCCCGGAGGCGGCCCCGGGAGGGGCCGGCAGATCTGGTTCTCACCTCATCCTCACTGCAGATTTGCTGTGTGATCTTGGGAGAGTTACTTAACCTCTCTGGGCCCCAGTTTTCTCATCTCTAGGATGGAGGCGCTCCCCATGCCACAGGCTGGGAATGAGAATTTTCCTCAAAACAAGAGCAGGTTGTCTGTGATAAATGCCCTGTGTGTGACTGGAGCCAGAGTCTGGGTCGAGTCACGGTCGTGCCCCCCACTCGCTCTGCCTCCAGGCAAGCGCTGCCCCTTTCCTGGGCCTCAGTTTCCCCCTGGGTCCCAGCCTCCCTTCTACTCTTCTGAAAACTCATCTGCCAGGAGTCCCTGCTGTCGAGGGGCCTTTTGGGGTGGGCCTGGCTGACGAGGGCTGGGAGGGCGACGCCCACAGGAATCGCTGGCCTCAGCTGAGCCACCGAGGGCAGACTGGTCACCTCGGGCTGCTCCCAAGGGAGGCGGCCCCTCCTGCCCCGCTCTCGGATCACTCAGTAGCATTGGAGCCTGCAGAACTTAACCACTAGCCCACCAGGCCAGCCCCATATGCGGTTATGTTTTAAGTGGGATTATACTGCTCTTTCTCCTAACGTGAACATTTGCCTGTGTCTCGAAGCGTTCTTTGGAAGCCTGGTTTCTGGGGCAGCATCCTCTTGTGAGGTTCCCGCTTTGGCCCCAGAGCCAGCGAGGCCACAGGAGCGTCCCTGGAGAGGCTGCAGGGAGGGGATTGGCCGAGGCTCTGACGTGTATCCTGTTGCCAGCAGGGCGGCGCCGTCGCAGGGCCAGGGCAGGCCTGGGTCCCTTCACATGTCCATCCACGCCGCTTCCTCCCCACTCCGTCCCACCCACTGCCCTGCCCAGACAGGCCACAGGCAGGGTTGGGTGAGAAGGGGTCCCAGGGAGGGTGAAGGGGGCCCTGCCCTGGACCCCTGACATCCATCAGGTCCCACAGCCTCCAGAACACACCCCCCTCCCAACTGTCCATACACAGCAGCCCGTCACAGCCTCCCAGCAGAGGTGGGGGGCTGGCGTCAGTGTCCCTCCCTCCTCCTTGCCTCCTGGGGTCTCTGACCAATGGGTCCTGCCTGCGAGGAGCAGGAGCCAGATAGGAACCCAGAGCTGGGGTGCCTGCCCTCCCACACCCCCGCTCCCCTCTGAGGCTGAGATGGCGGATGCAGGCCTGCGGGTGGGGACCCTGCCACTGGTGGGACTCGGGCCCACCAATGGGCTCAGGCAGCCAGGACTGGCAGGTGCACAGGCTGGGGGCACCCACCCCAGTTCCTACACTCTCACCCTGCCACCTTGCTGATGGCAAGTTTTCCTGCCAGGTGGGGGGCGGATCCCCATCCCTCTGTGACGGTGTGCCCATGGTGGGCCGGCGTGGCCCCGCCCCTGTTCTGAGCAGCTCTGTCCTCTTCGCCCACAGGCTGCGCAGCCCCTGGGTGCCCTCGTGCCTCGGGCAGCCCCGCGTCCTGCAGGGCCGGCTGGCCAGGTCCTCGCCCTCGCTCTGGGACAGGTAACATACCTGTGGTTTCCCTGGCTCCTCGATGTCTCTGCATCTGTCCCCAGACCTCCATCCCATGTCTGCATCAACTCCCCAGACCGATGGGAGGCCCAGAAAAGGGAAGGGGGTGGGTCGCTCCTTTCCGTGCCATCCCGTCTCAGAGGCGAGGCCCTCGTGCCCCCACAGCCCACAGCCCCTGGCCCCAGCCGAGGGCTCCGTCCTGGGTGGCCAGAAGGGGATCCCGGGGAAAGGCAGGAGGGGATTTCTCGAGGCCCCACTCTGCGCTGGATGAGCCCATCATTCTTCCCTGGAGGCGAGAAAGCACTTCGGGGCTTTCCGTGTGCAAGGAGGGAACAACGCAGCACCCGCCCCCGTCAGGTCAGGTTCAGGTCCTGGTTTAATTCACCAGGACACGGGGCAAAGCGAGGGGACCTCACCAGGCTGCAACCTGAGCCGGGCTTCCCGAGCACCCTACCTGGGGTGGGGTGGTCCTGATCTAGAGGGCGTGGCACCGGCGGTCTGGTCACAAAGGACTTCCACACTCTCCCTGTGCTTCTGTTAAGGGGCTGTTTCCAGACGCCAGGGCCCCTGAGTCAACTCCCCACCCAGGGGGAGGTGGAGGCCACGGAGCCCCAGGCCCCCAAGCAACCCCCTCGGATTGCCAGCGACCTAGAGGCCCCACGTCCACACAGTGCCTGCCTTTGGCGTCATCTCCCAGTAGTTCTAATGACCCAGAGTAGTACAGCGACTACAGTGACAGCCCTGCTTCCCCAGTGTGGGTGCTCCCGTGTGTGGGCGCTCCCGTGTGTGGGTGCTCCCATGTGTGGGTGCTCCCGTGTGTGGGCACTCCCATGTGAGTGCTCCCATGTGTGGGTGTGTGGTTGCTCCCGAATGCGAGTGCTCTCGAGTGTGGGCGCTCCCATGTGTGAGTGCTCCCATGTGTGGATGTGTGGTTGCTCCAGAGTGTGGGTGCTCCCAAGTGTGGGTGTTTGTGTGTGTGCTCCCGAGTGTGGGTGCTCCCGAGGGTGGGTGCTTCCGTGTGTGGGTGCGCCTGAATGTGAGTGCTCCAGTGTGTGGGTGCTCCCGAGTGTGAGTGCTCCCGAGTGTGGGTGCTCCCATGTGTGGGTGCTCCCATGTGTGGATGTGTGGTTGCTCCAGAGTGTGGGTGCTCCCGAGTGTGGGTGTTCCTGTGTGTGTGTGCTCCCGAGTGTGGGTGCTCCTGAGGGTGGGTGCTCCTGAGGGTGGGTGCTCCCGTGTGGGTGTGTGGTTGCTCCCAAATGTGAGTGCTCCCAAGTGTGGGGGCTCCCGAGTGTGGGTGCTCCTGTGTGTGGGTGCTCCCGCGTGTGGGTGCTCCATGTGTGGGTGCTCCCGCGTGTGTGTCTCCTGAGCGTGGGTGCTTCGTGTGAGGGTGCTCCCATGTGTGGGTGCTCCATGTGAGGGTGCTCCCGTGTGTGAGTGCTCCCGTGTGAGGGTGCTCCCAAGGGTGGATGCTCCATGTGTCGGTGCTCCCGTGTGTGGTTGCTCCTGAGTGTGGGTGCTCCACGTGTGGTGCTCCTGTGTGTGCGTGCACACATCCCTGTTTTACAAACGTGGAGACTGAGGCTGAGGCCAGGCAGGGCTCGGGTTAATGCCCTGGGAGGGGAAGGCACTGGAAGGGATGGTGGCACCACCCAGGTGACCACAGAGCCTGGGTGCCCAGCCCAGGGCCCTCCGTGGACCAGGCAGAGGAGGGGACACGTCCATAGCTTCTGAGTAGCTGATTGCCAGGACTTGGTGATGGGCTGTGAGGGGCGAGGGGCAAGAAAGGGTCACCACGGCCTCTTGGGGTCTGACTGGGGACTGAGGGTAGCCATGCCCTCCCCGGGGTGTGGGGAGCACAGAAGGCAGACAGCTGGCAGCATTGGCCACACTAAGTGTGAGATGCCCATGGGTCATCTGGGCAGAGAGGATGCTGGGTGGCTGGACATGGAGGAGAGGAGCCCTAGAGCGAGGCCCGGGCTGGAGATAGGGGTTTGGGAGGGGTCCGCGTGGGGCTGGGCATGGGGGAGACTCGGCCTGAGACGTGCAGGGGCGGGGCGGGGCGGGGGTGCAAACCAGGGCCTGGAGGGTCAGCCTGGGCAGAGTCCTGGGGTCTGAGGACGCAGCAGAGCCGGAGCGCAGAGACGGGGAGAGACATGGGGGTGGGGGGCACCGGGGTGGGCGAGCCTGTGCATCCGCTGTCACTGAGGGGCCGGGAGGCGTGTCCAGGGCCAGGCGCCTGCAGCAAGCGAGCAGGAGGGTGAGGAGGGGGCGCTGCTGGCCCAGGCTTGGCCGGGGTGCAGCTCAGGGGTTGGTGGGTGTGAGGGGCTCGGGGAGGGTAGGAGCAGTATTTGAGGGTTGGTGGGACAGGGCCACCCAGTATATCTGGAAGGCCATCCATCCAGGGGCCGAGGGTAAACTGAGGCTCAGGCGGCCAGCTCAGTGAAGCTAGCTGCCTGGTGTGGAAAGGTCTCGACCCAGGTGCCCCTCGGCAGGTCCTGGCTCTGCGGAGCCCACCCCACAGCCCTGGGGTACACTTGCCTCATTGACGCACCTGTTCCCTGTTCATCGTCTGTCTCCCCTGGAGACTGAAGGCTCCGCGGGGTGGGGACCACTTTTGTCTAATGCACTGCTGTAGGTGCTGGGAAGAGGGCAGGGCGGGGAGAAGAAGAAGGAAAGAGGGGGACAGGTGGAAGGAAAAGGGGGGACAGGTGGATGCGTCGTAGGATGATACGGGTCTCATCAGGAGTGGGCAGTCTGCATGATGGCAGGGTACAACCTGTGGCTGCGGGTGGGTGGCCGAGCTAGGGGAGGGAGGTTGCTGGCTCTGAGAGGCGGGGAGTGGGGGCTGAAGTGGCCACACGCGTGGACAGACGATGCTCATCTGGGATGATGTGAGACTGACTTCAGAGGCTGCTGCCCCACCCCGACACCGACACTGTGTCTGCAGGGGCCCTGGATGACGTGGGAGAGCCCCCAGGAAGCTTGCCACGCCACTGGGGAGAAAGGCCTGGGCGGGGGGCAGTCTGGGATCTGTAACTGCAGGGTGCTGGAGGGGGGCAGTCAGGCACGCTGCCTGGAGGAGGAGACTGGACCTGCGTGGGCAGCTGTGGGCCTTCTGCCTCTGGGCTCCCTCCTTGCTTGTCACTCTGCATCCTCCTTGGAGACTGACTCGGGAGGACCTGCCCCGTCCTTCTCTGAGGTTCTCAAAAAGTAGACAACTCTTCATTTTTATTTATTTTAAAAAATGTAGACCTGGGCGGGAATCCAGGAATGCTTAATCGAAGTCTTCTGGGTGTGCGCCCGTGGGAACACATGCGGTTTACTCACGGCCCGAGACTGAAGAGAACTCTGCCCTGGGGGCTGGGGGACACTCCTGCCTGTCCCCTACTCTCCCACTCGGGTTGTGGTCTGGGAGGTCCCACAGCACATCCGGGCAGAGTCGGGGTTCCCAGGCCCCCGCACCACAGGTTTCCAGGTGACACAGAGGGACTTCCCTCCTGCCCCCACGCGATGGTCTGGAGCGGCCACTGTCCACTCCCTCTCTCCCGTCCCACAGCAAACCCACCAGAAATTACCATCCAAAGGGATGTTGGCTCCAGATGGTCCCCTGAGGGTGTGCACTTGTTCCAGCAAACTAATGGCCTGCTCGGGCCCCCACCCCGGCCTGGGCACCTCTCTCTCTGGGCGGAATTTTTCTCAGAGCCTGGGCTTTGGGGCCACAGGGCAAGATGGGGGCAGTCCCCACTTCCCAAGGGGCAGCTGAGGCTCTGGTGGATAGTGGGCACCTGGGGGCGGACGGAGGGGACCGGCAGTCAGGTCTGTGTGCCAGCAGCGCCCCCGCCCATGCCGTGGTGCAGGCTAGAGTTCTCCTGTGGCCGCACCACCCTGGGCTTCGTCGTCACGTAGTGCAGGGGGTGATGGGGCAAAGTACACGCCCAGAGCACTGAACAGCAGCTTGAATCTTGGCTCCACCTGTGGCTAACACCCAGCAGGACTTCCCTGGTGCCCCTCACCCATGCACAGCGGCCCCCTTCCCTGTAGAAATCAGCTCTGCGGCCCCACTATTAAAGACGAGTCATTCTGCTGCTCAGTCAGGAAAGGGACAGGGCCATCAGGGCAGCGCATGTTTACAAGTACCTAGACGCTCCGCTCTGGGTGCTGCGTGGCTGCCGACAGGAGGGGGTGGTCCCTGCTCTGGTGGAGTTCACGGCCAGTCCCCTGGGCGTGGCCACCACACCTGCCCTTTCTGCCCTGTGCCCAACTGATGCCCAAGTGAATTGACGGCACGCAGCTCAGAGGGAGGATTGTCCTGAGTCTCTGTTTTCTGAGCCTGGGGGCTCAGCATCCTGGGGTTCTAGAGGAGACCCCAGTCTGTGGGGAAAATAGAGCCTCAAAAGCCGGGCCTGGGGCTCTGAAGGCTTCCTGGAGGAAGCGGGGACAGAGCAGGCCAGGGCTTTGCTGAGCTTCTGATGCTGTGTGCAGGCAGCTGGCCACTGTGATGGACGCGGCCTGGGCATGGGGCATCGCGGCCCATCCTCTCCCTGGCCCAGAGGTCACACAGCCTGCTGGGGCCACGCAGCCAATTTGGGGAAGGGAGGCCTGGTCTAGAGAGTGGCACTGCCACCTCTGGGCCTCCGCGTCCCCAGCAAGCGCTGTGGAGGAGCAAAAGTGGGGGCCCCCTAAGCTGTGCCATCGGAGGTCGGAGACACTGGGGGCTGAAGGGCGCTCTTTGAACCACGTCCTGTAAGCCGCCCCAGACACTAGCCAGGTTCTGGGGTCGACATCGTTTCTCCTCCGAGGTGGGATTCACCTCTGACACGGCGCTGCTGGAGGCTGAGGGATGACCTGGGCTGGACTGGCTCAGTGTCCGAGTCCCTGACTCCCGAGGGGCCGTAAGCCTCGAGCGCCGCCCGGGGGGAAGGCGTGTGCGTGTGCGCGTGCACTCGCGCGTGTGAGTGCGGCCGGACGCACACGGTGCGCCCTCGCGCGCCCCAGCTGGCCCGCGCGGCCTCAGTCTCCCCGTGCTCAGCGCCGCGGCCCGGCCCGCCGCCGCGTGTCGTTGCAGCGCGCTGCAGGAGCAGAAGGGCGAGCTGCGCAAGCGGCTGTCCTACACCACGCACAAGCTCGAGAAGCTCGAGACCGAGTTCGACTCCACGCGCCACTACCTGGAGATCGAGCTGCGGCGCGCGCAGGAGGAGCTCGAGAAGGTCACGGAGAAGCTGCGCAGGTGAAGGGGCAGGGCCTGGATGCGGCGGGGAGGGGCCTGGACGGGACGGGCCGCACGCGCGGGGTGGGGCCGTGTGGGCGGGGCC